AAAATATAACAACAAGAGCACCCGCGAAGCAGAGTCTGGTTATTAGACTTGTGATCGCAAGAGCTGCAACTGTTGGATTCCATGTTTTTCGGTTCCTACCAGCTTGCTGAGCATGTGCTTCAGAGCTTATTTAAAAGGAAATAATTATTTCCTTTTAAATAAGCTCAAATAATTCAATTTAGTGTACAAGCCCACCTCAGTAAATCTCTAAGCGACATTTCTGCGTCACAGGAGCGCGAGACCACGTATGTGAGTGTTCCATTCCCTGGCCTGTTGCCACCAAAAGCAACAAGTGTCCGTTTCTTGCTGCTTTCACACCCAAGCAACTGACTTTAAAATGCCTTGATGCAAGTATTTAGGTTTGTGTAGATCATAGCTTTGGACTTGTTGGCTGTCCTTTCGAGGCTTTAGGTAAAAGTCAAAGAGCTTCTAAAGAATAACTCCTAAAATTTGGAAAAGAAGCCTCGTGCCATAAGTGAAATTCAAGAACTGCTGCGGTGCCACATCCACAGACGCCTTGAGAGATTAAAGGAGCATTTTGAAAGAACTATTAGCCACTGCTCGAATAGCAAGTGGCTCAAGAGTAGATCCACTGAAGTCCTGATACAGTTGCTCACCATTCTGAGGGCAAAATGAACTTCTGTATCTGCTGCTTTACTCAAGATAAAGCGCCTTCGGAGATCTGCGCTGAACGTACCTTTGTACCGAAGTGTCTACGTAGTCTTTTAGTGTTTAAAGACAGAACGAACAACTGCTTGGCCTCAGCGGATGTGCAAGAGCTGCATATCTGAGAGCTATTTCTTGCCCAATTTACATTTCTACCTTGAGAAAGCATTGTATAGCTGAACAAGCCACGCAAAGCAATCTTTGTCCTTTTCCCGAGCTGAATGCACATCTTTTGCCCAAGTGGAGAACCCCACACACTCAGCCTTTTGCCGTGCCAATTTGCACTTCGCAGTTTTAGTTAATATTTGGTTTGTCTATAATCTCTCCAGTGCTTTATCAAGAAATCGTGTACATTCTTTCAACACGCCCTCAGCTGCTATTATCAATCCCTATAAATAAAGCTATAGATTCGTCATGATTGCTCAGAACGCATTGAGTACTCCCATCAGTCTAAGTTCAAGTTTACCGCTGAAGTGCTTTGTGAATATTTCCAATGAAGTTTTGTTTTTGCCGTCTGGCTGCATTGGTCCTTGTTGAGCCCATTGTATACTAAAAGAAACCCTGTGCAGGTAACCCTGTGCAGGTTCGAGGGTTCCACTGGCAACAGACTCCCTACAGCCACTGGCCCCGGAGCTGCATCCCTGCTGTGGGCTTACTGGCTCACAAATAGTCCCACCCGAATGCATCAGGCATGCAGAAACAAGTAAAAAGACTTCTAACTTTTAAATTCTGCTGTCAGGAGAGCCAACAAGCAGCGCGAAAGCCTTATCCCTACATCCAGTTTCAGCTTGGGCGCAATCACCCCGTGGCATCCTCCTATGCATTTGTCTGCTACTCCCCTGGACATCTGTTCATCCATGCATCAGTCACTGAAATCAAACTTAAACAGAGAAAAGTACTATTACTTCAGTTCTTCCCCACTGTTTAGGTCTCGGTAACATTCAGCCGGAACCTAAGCATCCCAGACCATTTTCTTTCAGCTTAAACTGGCCAGCTTCCTCCCGACTTCAGCCACTTTGCCTAGTTAGCAACTCTTTTAATCTGCAGGGCGCCTTCCTGGTCACTCTTCCTCCGTTTCGCAGAAGCCTGAGCCAAGAGATATCCCCTGGCTTCCTTCCGCCTGCAGCCAGCGGCGAAGACTCTGCATGCGTAAGTGGAGGTGAGTGTCGACCTTGAGAGGCCTGGCTGCGCGAGGGCGCCTGGGCCCGGGGGGGAGGGGCTGGCCTAGCGGGGCTTCGGCCCAGCAAAGAAAAGCATTTGAAATCATTTCTTTTGACTCTTGTCCACCCGACACTAACACACTTTTCCCCGGGAGCTGAGCCTTGGGAAATGGCCTTTAATGAAAATGCCCCCGAAGCTTCGCCCCGAAGCAGGCAGCTACCTTGACGCGCGGGCAAAGAAAACTGCTTGTCGCCTTCAAGAGCCCTGCTTCAGCGAACTCCCCTGGAGCTCTTTCCCCTTGGCTTTGCCCATGCCAACGCAAATACTTGCGCATGCATTTTGGGGGCTTGCAACAAACAGGTATTGGAGACCCCTTCTCCATAGGCATGTGGCCATTTTGGGCAGAGGCAGAAGCAAAGTGACCCTCTGTGCCTGAGCTCGAGAAAGTACCAGCATTTCTACTGTATGCAAAAGGACGAGTTGAGGCTGAAGGTGTCTTTTACCCTGCTAGAAATTGAAAGGGGGAATGGCCGAGGCTGCTCGACCTGCACAATTTCCAGGAAAGTGTAGTGTTGTGCTGTTCATACGGAGAATCATATCCAAAGTCTCTTTGTCATATGCTACTACATCAAGAGGCTTTACTGTTGGCCTCTTGACGCGAAAAGAGGAGCTTAAGCTCCACCTGGAATGTGAGCGGCCAAAAGACAAAATCCCAACTAGGGCAAGAAGCTGCGGAGTGTACCGGGTGGGCATTTAGAGCATCTGCGATAAACTTATGTCTAATTCACTTTGCTTAAAGGCTCCTCGTTAATTGAGGACTCTGAAGATAAGCTGGCTTTCCCTCCTGACTCAGACGGAGCTTAAGTTTGCTTAGGAGATCCATTTATGAACGACCACGGCATGCCTCGTTAAGGGAGGCGGACTGCTTCTTGATATTCTAGTAACGGGCTTGAAAACCCTCAAATCTAAGGAACGGCACCAACTCATCTGACGCCTCTCCAGCCCATGGAGTCATCCTGCAAGTTGACCGTCTACCCCTCGTAGTCCTGCTCTATGGTTGATGATTCCCTAAAACTGCTTTCAGTTTCACCAGCTGGGGGAAGACGTGAGTCCATTTTAAAGCTAGTATGCAAGAAGCAGCCTGGTTTGTTTTGTAGTCTGTAGCTTCTCGTTTATAGTTTTAGTTTTGCACAAAAGTACAGAAGCAGTCTCGGTGCTGCGCAGCAACAAAAAAGGACGTTTTAATCTCTACAGCCAGACAATATTGCTAGAGCTTGCTGCTGGCTCTTTCGTGCTTCTTCTGTTCAGTGAGTCCAGCAGTCTGAAGAAGAGCTCTCCCCAAATATCTCTTTCTGCTGCCCAGCGTGGCTCTAGAAACTCTGCAGGCGTAAAAGTGGCAACAGCAAATTCAACCGTCTATTTTGAAAGTTAAAATCGCTACAAAAACTCTCTTCGAGGCTCCTTTCGGCTCTTGTTCGCGTTCTTATGAGAACAAAACGGCAAGGCTGTCAATAGGAACTCTTATTCTAAGGCAGGGACCTTTATCGAGACTTCGGGTGAGCCAAAGTGGGAAAAAGGTGGAGTACATGAAGTAGAATGCATGCAGTTGTAATGCATGCAGTTGCAGTGGAAGATGAATGAGGTGGCCACGCTCAGGCAGCAAGCCTTTAGAGGGTGCCTGGGACTGAAGGGAAGCTAAACTGCTTCGAAGCGAAGCCAAAGAATGGAGGAGACCGGCTCTAAATTGGAAGGCAAAAGACCTAAATCGAAGCTCGAATGTCATTTAGTTGATAAAGTCTTCGGCTGCATGCACGCAGACGCCGCCCATCACTAGAAAGCAGAAGTGACCCTAGTCCTGATATTACTTTTTCGGTTTTGCAGAAGGAAAGAAAGACTCAAACTGGCAGGGCATAGGCCAAAGATGTTTAGTCATATTCCCAGGCCTCCCGCGTCCACAGTGAGGGTTCTTGTGGGCGCTTTGGCCTCTGTGGAAAAACTAAAAATACTACTTCCAGGCGTTGACTCAGCGAGAAATGAGGAAGGGGAAATCCCGCGAGACAGCTCTGAAAACAGAAAAGGAGAGGCTCCTTTAGCCTTCTAAATCCATTAATGACGGCTAGTTACTGTGTGAAATGGATAAAAGTTGATTTCCTGTTACCTTCTTCTTGCAAACTTGGGCTGGGCACTTAGTCTAGCAAGTGGCTCGGCGGAATTAGCGTAGCAGGGCAAGAAGAACCCTGTAATTGAATTTAAACTTGAATAAAAGGGGAATAATGCTAAAATGGAGAAGTGCATTGCAAAGAAATGCATGTACAGGGGGGAACGAGGAAAGAGGAAACCGAACACGGGCCTGCCTGCCCAGCGTTGAAGTGCGCCAGGGCTGCGTTTTTACGCAGAGTTGATGGAAAAAAACTGCTTCTAAATCACTATTCCTTCAAATTAAATTGATTTAGCGAGGGAAAACTAGGAAAAAAGAGGGAACTTGAGGTGTATGCAGATTGGAGGCTGCAGAGCCGATACTGCGAGCGGCAACGCAAAGACACTCTACCGCGTGATCTGCCCTTAATCGAGCGCCTTAACTCCAATATTATTTTGCAAATGTCTTTCTTTTTTGATTTTGATTCCAACAGTATGTCATTTATCTATTTTTACCCCCTTTCCCCGCAAGGCTGGCGCTGGCACCCTAGCAGCACTCAGTGAGCGCGGGAGCCGCCAGACCCTACCTGCTGCAAACCCCTCTTTTTTATTAATTAAATAAACTCTAAACTTCAAGAATTTGAGAAAAAATTTCTTAAAATTGGCTGTAGGGGGCCCCCGATCTCCAGAAACCGCTGCAGCGCCGCTGGCGCAGCATCGGTTGTTCTGGAAATAGGGCCACAAAGCTGAAACCCTAAACCCTAAACCCTAAACCCTAATTTGGCGTACCAATTGAGTTCTCTGGTGAACGAAACCGAACTCTGGGCTCGGCTGGCACCGGCGCGCGGCCTGCCTCTGCCGCTTTAAGGGAAAGCACAGGCCGGGTTGCTCTGCGAAGAGGGTTTAGGGTTTACGGTCTAGGGTTTAGGGTTTAGGGTTTGAGGCGCGCGGAGCCACGCCGCTGCTGATGATGCTGCAACCGACAAGGCAGGGTTTATCATTTTAGTCCGTGCGAATTGTTGGGGGCCTCGAAGCCGATGGGGCCCCGCTGGAGGCGGTTCTTTGCGGTTTGCTGCTGCTGCTGCTGCAGCAGCAGCAGCAGCAGCAGCGCCGCTGCTGCTGCTGCGCGCGCAAGCGAAAGCAGCGAACTCCTCCACCAGCTCTTCAGCAACTTGCATGCAGCAACAGACCCTCTGGAGTTCTCTGTGGGCTTCTACAGAGTGCCCCACCATCTAGCCACTTGGGGGCGTTCAATAGCAGAACAAATCCGACAAAGTGAGGGTTTAGGTACCCTTCAGGAGCTTCTCCATCCCGAGGGGGCCCCCGGGGGCCCCCCCGGGGGCCCCCCGGGGGGCCCCCAGGGGGGCCCCCCCGGGGGCCCCCAGGGGGGCCCCCAGGAGAGCCCCACACACAGCGCCATGGGGGCCCCCGTGTGGGGCCCCCAGGAGGGCCCCCACCGGGGGGCCCCCGGGGGGCCCCCACGGGGGCCCCCCTCTGGTGATATTACTTACCTTGCGTACAATGGCGAAGGCGAGGGTTTAGGGTACATTTCAGGGTTTGTTGAAAAAGATAAAGCACATTTAAAAGTGTTTAAAGTGGCGGGGGGCCCCAACTCCAGCTTCGTGGGTAGGACGCCTGCAAACCCTAAACCCTAAACCCTAAACCCTAAACCCTAGGTGTTTGGCGGGGGGCGGAGGCTGGGCAGGGCTGGGCGGAGCGGCGTCGCGCGAGCCCGGAAGTCTCGAGCCCTCGAGGGTTTAGGGTTTAGGGTTTAGGGTTTAGGGTTTAGGGTTTGCGTGCGTGCGCAGAAGAGAAGCTGCTGCTGAAGTGGCTTGCTGCAGCAGAAGAGGAAGGGGCCCTGGAGGTGACAGCAGCAACGCCAGCTTCTGCTGCTGCTGCAGTGCAGCAGCTGCTGCGGCTAGGGTTTAGCCCTGAGGGTTTAGGGGCCACCGCAGACGTGGCAGCAGACCAGCAGCAGCAGCAGCAGCAGCAGCAGCAGCAGCAGCAGGGGCCCCTGTCCCCCGGGGGGGCCCTCGAGGCCGATGGGGTGCCCCACACAGAAGAGGGGGCCCCCCTGGGTACCGTGGGGGCCCCCTCTGGGGGCCCCACAGTGCCTAGGGGGGCCCCCCAATATGACCAAATGGGGCCCCCAGAGGCTGGGGGGCCCCCTTCAAATGGTGAGAGGCCCCTCTCAGAGGAGTGGGGCCTCTCAGGTGTCTCGGGGGGCCCCCACAGTGGCCTGTGGGGCCCCACACATGGCTTTGGGGGCCCCCCCAGTGGCTTGTGGGGCCCCCCAGACAATTTTGGGGGGCCCCCCAGTGGCTTGTGGGGCCCCACAGACAGTTTTGGGGCCCCCCACAGTGGCCTGTGGGGCCCCACAGGTGATTTTGGGGGGCCCCACAGTGGCCTGTGGGGCCCCACAGATGACTTTGGGGGCCCCCAAGATGACCCGGGGGGCCCCCCAGCTCAGGGGGCCCCCACAGTTAATTGGCGGTTGACTCTGCCTTACGACAATGGCCCCAGTAGCTTTACTTTAGAGCGTTTGGCAGAAATACGTAAACCCTAAACCCTAAACCCTAAACCCTGATAAACCCTAAACCCTAGTAAACCCCAAACCCTAATAGCGGGTTTGCAGCGTGCCGTAAACTGGCTTCCGCCCGAGGCAGACAGGCAGAGCGGGCACCCTCGGAGCCATCAAAACCGAGGGTTTGGCGTTAAGGGTTTAGGGTTTAGGGTTTAGGGTTTAGGGTTTAGGGTTTGCGGGGTTTGTATGCTGCAGGAGACGTGTTGCTGCCCCAAGCTGTTTCTCTTGCTGCTGCTGCAGGCAAGCAGAAGAGCACTTTAAGTTTTTAGTTATTTATTTAAAAATAAATAATTAAAAATAATAATAAATAATAATTAGTAATAATTAACAATAAATAAGTCAAAAAAAAGAAAAAAGAATTGCCAAGAAGCTGAACAAATGCAAAAAAAGAAAAAGTGCTGAAAACAAAAACTAAAAAACAAATAAATGATAAACAAATGGTAAAAATAAATAAATAATAATTCATTTAAATAATACTTTATTTGCTTTTATTATTTGTTTGTCATTTATTTGTAAATAAACGATAAACATATCACAAAAATAAATAAAAGGTAAATTAATTAAAACAATTAAAATCCGCAAACATAAAATAAAAAACCCTCGGCAATGTGCAGCCAAAAACCCTTCTTAATTTTGAATGCATTAATGGATTTATTTTAATTTTAATGAAAATTCTTCAACTTTAATTCAATGTGACCTTTTGTATCTTTTAGAAAGATTAAATGAATTATAAAAATGCATTTAATTGCAATTTCTTTTATTTTCAAATTCTGCATTTTGTGCTGGCCCTGAGGTGTACATACACCCCAAGCGCTCTAGGCCTTGTGCGGGCCTCATTTTGCATTTTAGAAAACAGCATTTAATTTAAAATTTTAATATTTGTATATTTTGGAAGGAAGCATTTTTAAAACGCTTTTAAAGAGCATTTAAATGCTTCAGAACGCTTTAAAAAGCTCTAAAGTGCTTTTAAAAATTTTCAAGTGCTTTAAAAGACCATTTAAATGAATTTAAAACAACTTAGCTTCATTTAATTGTTTTTAAATATTTTTAAATGCTATAAAGGGCCTATTGAGCCATCTTTGTTCAGCTACTAGTCTATTCTTTTGCTTTATTGTTTTATTAAATGCATTAATGAATTATTAAAAAGAAATCCTCCAAAATGCACTTCTGCTGCTGCTGCAGGCAAACAGCGGAGGGCCCCCCCTGTAGAAGTGATTTCCATCGAGGGCCCGGGGGCCCCCCAAGACCCTTCCGCCGATAGATTTTTGAATTCAATTGCTGCTGCGCTGCAGCAGCAGCAGCAGCTGCAGGAGCTGCAGCGCGAGCAGCAGCAGCAGCAGAGGCAGCAGCAGCAGCAGCAACAACAGCACCAGCACCAGCACCAGCAACACCAGCAGCAGCATCAGTATCCGCAGCGGCAGCAGCAGCAGCAGCAGCAGCAGCAGCAGATTACGGAAAGGCTTGAAGAGGAAATGAAAAGAAAGGAAGAAGAAATGATGCAAAGAGAAGCAGCAGAAACAATTAAAGACATTCGGGCTTTTGCTGCTGCTCTCAAACATGGAATTCCCCACGGGCACACCTTGCTGGGCAAGTCCAAACATTAATAATTAATTAAATGGTCAAATGATTAATTAATTAATTGCTATTTAATTTTATAATTAATCATTTATTAATTCCGTAATTAATTTGTTTCTTAATTGCTTATTAACTCAAGTCGTTCGGCTTTTATTTATTTGCCATTTGCTGCCGCAAATGGCAAGTTACTAGAAGTGAATAAGCCAGAACTGCCAAATAAATGAACACCTACCAATTCAAATGAAAATAAATAAATAATAAATAAATAAATAATAAATAAATAAATAAATAAATAAATGTATAAATAAACAATAAAAGGCAAATAGATGAGCGAGTAATGGGCAAAAGCAAATGAGTGATGAATAAATCTGAATTTGGTCCGTTTGTCAGTCCCCCGTGGTTTGTTTTTGGTTTTTTTTCCGATTTTTTTCCATTTAAATGATTATTTTGAAATTAAAATAAAAAACATTCTTTTAATTTCGTAAACTGTGGAAAAAAAGAGTCGAAATTCGCGAAAAGCGCGACAGAAGCTGAGCGTACACTGCGCGAATTTGGGGTGTACGTACACCGCAGCGAAGACCGCAGGCCCGGAAAGCCGAATTGTCGGAATTTTAAATTTTGAAATAAATCTTCCAAAAGAAGCTCAAGTGACGCATTTGTTTCTTTCTTCAGACGTCGAAGAGTATGCAGGCAAGCTTGCAAAGGAGTAAACAAAAAAATAAATCAAAAACGAACAAAAAAGACTTTTAATTTCTTTTTTTGAGTTTTTGGAAAGAAAATCAAAATGAGACTTTTTGGAAGTTAATGCAAATACAATTTTAAATAAAATAAATGCAAATGCAAGTCTAAATATAAATATAAATATAAATATAAATATAAATATAAATATAAATATAAATATAAATATAAATACAAATATAAATATAAATGTTAATATAAATATAAATATAAATATAAATATAAATATAAATATAAATATAAATACAAATATAAATATAAGTATAAATTATAAATATAAATATAAATACAAATGTAAATATAAGCAGGAGAAATGAAAAAGAGTTTAATTGAAAGCGCAAGAGCGAAGAAAACAAAGCAACTAAAAGTCTGTTTCTGTTACTGCTGTGCTGCTGCTGTTGCTGCTGCTCTGCTGTGCTGCTGCCGCTGTCTGCTGCTACTGCTGCTGCTGCTGCTGCTGCCGCTGCTGCTGCTGCTGCTGCTGCTGCTGCTGCTGCAGAATATGAGCTGGGTTTCCAGCGGCGGCTGCTGTCGGGGGCAGCAGGGGAGGGCCTCTGCGTGGTGACTCCCACTTTTGCTGCTGCTAGTGAGCAGCAATGCGAAGAAATAAAAAGTGCTGCAGCAGCAGGGGGGCCCCCCGAGCGGCTGCAGTTTAGGGGGCCCCCCATGGATTCCCCGGAGCTGCGGGTTTTGTTTCTGGAGACGCTGAAGCAGCTGCTGCAGCACCCCGCTGCCAGCAGCAGCAGCCGCCGCAGCAGCAGCAGCAGCAGCAGCAGCAGCAGCGGCAAGAGCTTGGGCGGCGCTGCGCTGCTGCTGCTGCTGCTGCTGCTGCTGGGCCCCCTCGTGATGCGGCGGCCGCGGCAGCGGCAGCGGCAGAAGGCCGTGCGCATGCCCGCGGGGCTGCTGGTTGCTTCGGGGGACCCAGCAGCAGCAGCAGCAGCAGCAGCAGCAGCAAACCAAGCAGCAGCAGTTTGGGACTGGCAAGCAGCACCTCCTGCAGCAGAAGATGAACGCTCTTTTGACTTAGACGAATTTGCCATAGTCACAACACATGACTCCCTCAGCGCTTCCCACGCAACTCTTGCTGCTGCGGGCTTGCCCTAGACCAGCACCAGCAGCAGCAGCAGCAGCAGCAGCAGCAGCAGCAGCAGCGGGAGCAGCAGCAGCGGCGGGGGGAGCACGGGGCAGGCTCTCCACGTGCTGCGGCAGCAAGAGCTGCTGCTCCCAGCGGCCCTGTAGGGCTTGGGGCAGAGCAGCAGCAGCAGCTGCTGCTCTCCTGCAGCAGCAGCAGCAGCAGCAGCAGCAGCAGCAGCAGTAGCCCAGCTGCATGCGCCGTTTGCTCTTGCAGGCGACTGCTGCTGCGCGTTTGCTTGAGTATTGGCCCGCAAACAAATTTATGAGTTGATATTTCAATATTCTTCAATTAATTAATTAATTTATTTTTTACTTTCTAATTCACTTCTTAATTCTTTTTTATATTTCAATATATTCTTCAATTAATTATTTATTTTTTACTTTCTAATTCACTTCTTAATTCTTTCTTCAATTTCTTTTTTATCTTTTCTCCCTTCCGCAGCCATTGCACTTAGCCCCCTATCCTTCAGCCCAGCTAGCCACAGCTAGCCACAGCTAGCCACAGCTAGCCGCAGCTAGCTGCAGCAGCGGCTGAATGTAGCTAGCTGTCGCTAGCTGCAGCTAGCTGCAGCAGCGGCTGGCTGTGGCAAGCTCTCGCTAGCTGCAGCTAGCTGCAGCACCGGCTGGCTGTAGCTAGCTGTAGCTAGCTGTGGTTAGCTGCAGCTAGCTACGGCCAGCTGCAGCTAGCTGAGGCCAGCTGTGGCTAGCTGTGGCTAGCTGTAGTGAACTGTCGCTTGCTGTAGTTAGCTGCAGCTGGCTGTGGCTAGCTGTGGCTAGCTGCGGCTAGCTGTGGCTAGCTGCAGCTAGCTGTGGCTAGCTGCAGCTAGCTGTGGCTAGCTGCAGCTAGCTGCGGCCACACTGGGCAGCAGCCACTGCTGCACTCCCTTACTCTCAGCAGAACTGCCTGCAGCGCTACGCCCTAGACCCCAAACCCTAAACCCTAAACCCTAAACCCTAAACCCTCTTTAAATCGGCCAAGTACTAAACCCTTCCGCAGTCCTCATTCAAATTCCCCGTAGCTCGCAGGGGCCCCTAGGGGCCCCTGCTGCTAAGGGTCCCGTAGGGGCCCCCCGAGGGCCCCCTGGGCCTCTAGGGGCCCCCCGGGGGGCCCCCCAGGGGGGCCCCCAGGGGGGCCCCCTGGGGGGCCCCCAGGGGGCCCCTCCGGGGGGCCCCTGTCCGCTAATGTGAGGGCCCATGGGGGCATTAAACTGCATGCGTTTACATCTTCTGGCAAATAAGGGGGGAGGCCCCCTGGGGCATTTCCCAAAATGTTTTTTTTGCCGAAGGGGGGGGCCCCCGTGGCTGGCGCTGCAGCAGCAGCAGCAGCAGCAGCAGCAGCAGCAGCAGCAGCAGCAGCGTCGCTGTCCTCCTCCAGTGCTGCTCTTGATGCTGCTCCCAAGCGGTTTTGCCGCAGCAGCTCAGCAGCAGAAGTTCCCAGAGTCATAGTGTTGGCCAGCCGCGCCAGCCGCTGCAGGTCCTGCAAAACCCTAAACCCTAAACCCTAAACCCTAAACCCTAAACCCTTGCTAGGGCAGCTGGTGCCCCTCGCTGGCGCGCCTTGCGGACGCGGCTCGGCTGAAGGCGGAGGGCCCCCGCAGGGCCCCCTAGGGTTTAGGGTTTAGGGTTTGGGGGTGAGGGTTTAGGGTTTGGGGGTTTGAGGGTTTAGGGTTTGGGGGTTTGAGGGTTTAGGGTTTGGGGGTTTGAGGGTTTAGGGTTTAGGGTTTTGAGGGTTTAGGGTTTACCTGAATGGAAGAAGACTGGGGGGCCTCCACCTGGAGGTACTCCTGCAGCGCAGCAGCAGCATCTCCTTCTTCTATGGCCAGGGGGGCCCCCCTGGCCAGGGGGGCCCCCCTGGGTACTGGGGGGCCCCTGGTTTGGGGGGCCCCCCGAGACAGGGGGCCCCCCTTTATAAACCCTAAACCCCTTTGCTGCCTCCCCTGTGCTGCTCCCGTGGCTCTGTAGTCCACAATTTCTGCTGCGGAGTATAAGATGCGCAGCGACTCGCCTGCGCGCGCAAACCCTAAACCCTAAACCCTAAACCCTAAACCCTAGCGAGGGCCTAAACCCTAAACCCTCGAGTTGAAACCCTAAACCCTTATCTTAAGCGGTGCGCTGCAGGACTTGGAAGCACAACAGCGTGGGGAAAACGCTGAAGTGTGCTCTTCAAACCCTCATAAACCCTAAACCCTAAACCCTAAACCCTAAACCCTAAACCCTAGAGCCTCACGCTGAAAGAGATCTACGAGCAGCGGCAGAACCTGGGGCTCGAGCTGCTCTTCGCAGCCAGCCAGCAGCAGCAGCTGCTGCAGCAGCTGCTGCACTTGCGGCACCACCTCCATGCCGCCCCTGCTGCTGCTGCTGCTGCTGCTGCTGACGCTGCTGCTGCTGTTGCTGCTGCCGCTGCTGCTGCGAGAATCAGACACAGGCGGCCCCACGGCTGTCTCCCCTCCCGTAGCAGGAGTGCTTGCTGCTGCTGCTGCTGCTGCTGTTGCTGCTGCTGCTGCTGCTGCTGCGTCTGCTGCTGCTGCTTCCCCGGACGCAGGGGGGGGCCCACACTTCTCTGGGGGCGCCGCCGCTGCTTCGCCTGCAGCAGCAACAGCAGCAGCAACAGCAGCAGCAACAGCAGCAGCAACATTAAGTTCAGCAGCAACACCAGCAGCGCATGGTGCAGCAGCAGCAACTGTAGCTGCAGCAGCCACCAACTAACAGGCAGCAGCAGCAGCAACACCCAAACATCAATGAACTCTGATTTAGGGGACGAGACTGACGAGTTGCTTCTTCTTGCTGCTGCTGCTGCTGCTGCTGCTGCTGCTGCTGCTGCTGCGGGTGGCCCTCTGCAGCTGCGAACGGTTGCTCCAGCAACTGCTGTTGCTGCTGCGGCATTTGCTGCTGCTGCTGCGGCGGCGGTACTTGCTGCTGCTGCTGCTGCAGTTGCTGCTGCTGCTGCTGCTGCTGCTGCTGCTGCTGCACCTCTCTGCCCCACATAACCTGCGCTGCTGCACTAGGGGGCCCTTTGAGGGGCTGGCCTATGGAGGCCCCTTGTGGGGAGGAGGCCTGCTGCTGCTGCTGCATAGGCTGCTGCTGCTGCAGCACAGGTTGCTGCTGCTGCAGCACAGGTTGCTGCTGCTGCAGCAGTGGCTGCTGCTGCAGCACAGCTTGCTGCGGTGGCAGCAAAGGCTGCTGCTGCGGCGGGACAGGCTGCTGCTGCAGCACAGGTTGCTGCTGGAAGCCCATGTGCTGCAACGGCACCCCGTGCTGCTGCTGCTGCTGCTGCTGGTGCAGCGGCTGCGGGGCTTGCTGCTGCTGCAGCACATGCTGCTGCGGAGGCCCCAGCTGCTGCTGCCAGGAGGCGAGTCCGGCTACAGAAGCCTGTGCGTGGGGCTGCTGCTGCAGCAGCAGCTGCTGCTGCAAATGCTGCTGCTGCTGCAGCTGCTGCTGCTGCTGCCAGCGCTGCTCTGCAGGCCACTCTTGCTGCTGCTCAGCCCACTGGCTACGAGCCATTGGGGGCTGCAACTGCGGGTGCTGCAGCTGTTGCTGCTGCAGCTGCTGCTGCTGCAGCTGCTGCTGCTGAATCTGTGGGTGCTGGAGCTGCTGCTGCTGCAACTGTGGGTGCTGCAGCAGCTGCTGCTGCAGCTGGTGCTGTTGCAGCTGCGGCTGCTGCATCTGTGGGTGCTGCAGCTGCTGCTGCTGCAGCTGTTGCTGCTGCAGCTGCTGCTGCTGCAGTTGCTGCTGCTGCAGTTGCTGCTGTTGCAGCTGCTGTTGCTGCAGTTGCTGCTGCTGCAGCAGCTGCTGCTGCCACGCCATCTTGGCAGTACTGCAGCGCAGTTGCTCACTTGCGGCTACCGCATCTGGCCTTTCCTGCTGCTGCTGCTGCTCCTGCTGCTGCTGCTGCTGCTGCTGCTCTGCGGCACTAAAGTCAGCTAAAATAAAAAGCTGCGCAGCTTAACTCTGCGTGCTGCTTGCTGCGGTGTACAGACACCTCGCCGGGGCCCCAGTCCTTTCGTCGCCGCCGGGGGCCCCGCCGCATGCAAGTGAAGAAATAGATTAAAAATGATTAAAATGTGGAGAATAAATTAAAATAAATAAGTTTTTATTGCTGCTGAGCTCGGCTTAAGTCCTCAGGTGTATCAACAGCCATCAACAGCCCGCTACTGCTGCCGCACGAGCAGCAGCAGCAGCAGCAGCAGCAAAAGACCCGCAGCTGCAGCAGAATAGTCGTTTATTCCTTCTTCAATTGCAATTACTTTATATTTATATTTTAATTTATTTAATTTTCAGTTTTTAATTCGCGTTTCGGCCTCCGAACCAACGAGCTGCCTGTACACCGCCTGGGGTGTATGCGCAGCTCTCGCCACCCCCTCTTGCTTTAATTATCGCCTCATCGACGCATTTGAAAAGCATTTCATTTCTTTTTTATTATTTTTATAAATGCAATTGAATAATTACTTCATTTCCCGCCAATTTGCATTTAAATTCCCTTTCTCCCTCACCACTTCATCCCCGTTTTCAGCTCTCAATCTCCCGCCGGCCCGTTTGTATGTCTTGACACTCTCTCCCCCTTTTCTGCCTCTTTGGCTTCCCATTTGGAGCTAGCTAGCTAATTAGTTGGCTAGCTAGCTAACTAGCTAGCTAGCCAATTAGCTGGCCAGCTAGCTAGCCGCCCCAGTCAGCTAGCTAGCTAGCTGGCCCAGATAGCCAGCTGCCATAGCTAGGTAGCTGCGCCAGAGCCGGATTCCAAATAAACAGCAGCAAGCTAACTAGCTAGCTAGCTAGCTAGCTAGCTAGCTAGCTAGCCGGCTAGCTAGCTGGCTACCTAGTTAGCTAGCTGGCGGGCTAGTTAATTAGCTAGCTGGCTAACTAGCTAGCTACGTAAATAGCTTGCTGGCTAGTTTCCTAGAGTTGCTGGAAGCCCTAAACCCTAAACCCTAAACCCTAAACCCTAGCTACCTTTGCTCATCTTTAGCTGCTTCGTTCGTCTTCAGCCCAAACCCCACACTGAGGGTCCAAGCGACACTGCTGCTGCCTGCAACTTAGGGTCTGTCTAGCGACAGGGTTTGTGCATTTAATATTTATTTCATTTTATTATTTTTAATTTTAATTTTTAATTTTGTTTTTAATTCTTCTTTGTTGAGGCTCCTCCAGTGGTGCCCATGCCCATGGCAGCCTGAAAGCAAAAAGCCAACTCGAGGGTTTAGGGTTTAGGGTTTAGGGTTTGCTGGGTTTGCGGGGATAGGGCCCTTCGTTGCGAAGACAACAGCAGCGAGGGTTTAGGGTTTACTTACGAGGGTTTAGGGTTTACTTACGAGGGTTTAGGGTTTATCGAGGGTTTAGGGTTTGCTGAGGTTTGAGGGTTTACTGGGGGTTTACAGTCTGGGGGCCCCCCAGGGACTACGCTTCTCATTAGGGTTTAGGGTTTAGGGTTTAGGGTTTAGCCCGGCTCTAGGGTTTGGCACTGCGTGCGCCCCTGGGGCTTGCTAGGGTTTGGAATTAGGGTTTGGGGCCCCAGGCCAGAGCTAGGGTTTAGGGTTTAGGGTTTAGGGTTTACTTTGAAGCTGTCATAAATCCACCACTGCAAACCCGTGAGGGTTCCAATCATCAAAACCCTCGTTCCTAAACCCTTAGTGAAGAGTTGCCGGTAGCCCACGTCCCGGGCCATTTGTCCAAAGCTGCGCGCAAACCCTAAACCCTAAACCCTAAACCCTAAACCCTAGAAAACCCTAGGCCCCACACCCTGGGTACGGCGGACTCAAGGCGCCCGCTGCTGAACTCCGCACACGCGGCGCTCCTGCAAACCCTAAACCCTAAACCCTAGAAAACCCTAAACCCTAAACCCTAGAAAACCCCAAACCCTAAACCCTAAACCCTAAACCCTCACCTTTTTCCTTTGTTCTCCTCCTTGCCCATAAGAGAGACCAGAGAATCCGCCGGGTGAGAAACCACCGCGCAAACAATTCCAGAAAGATATCCTAAATAAATAAAAATAAAAATAAATAAAAATAAATAAAAATAAATAAATAAAAATAAAGATAAATAAAAATAAATAAAAATAAATAAAACAAATAAAGATATATAGAAATAAACAATTAAAATAAATAAAATAAATAAAATGATAATTATTAATTACTTAAAATGAATTAAAATTAATTCACATTTTTGGGAAAACGAAAAAGAGGGTAAAAGTGAAAAACCCAAAATGAGAAATAAACAAATAAAATGGAAATTGAAAAGTTTAATTAAAAATAAATAAATAAAAAAGAAATAAATTAAGGAGAAGAAAACTAAAAAGAGATAAATAATAAAAAAATAAAAAGGAATTAAAATGATTTTAAACAAAATTTAAAGTACTTTTGAATGCAATTAAAATACCATTTAAGATGCCATTTAAATGAAATAAAAATACCATTTTAAATAGCATTTAAATGCATTTAAATGCTACTTTAAAAGCATTTAAAATGCCATCGAAATGGAATTTAGAATACCATTTAAATGCATTTAAAATTGGATTTAAATGCATTTAAAATACCATTTAAATGCATTTAAAGTACCATTTAGATGCATTTAAAATTGGATTTAAATGCATTTAAAATACCATTTAAATGCATTTAAAATACCATTTAAATGCATTTAAAATTGAATTTAAATGCATTTAAAATTGGATTTAAATGCATTTAAAATACCACTTAATGTCAGTCAAAATAATATTTAAATGGCATTTAAATATCATTCAAATGTCATTTAAATCCACTTAAAATGCCTTTTTGAATTCCATTTAAAATGCCATTAACATGCCATTAACATGCCATTAACACGCTCTTGAAACCCCAATAAACCCTCATTAAAAACCCTCCTAAACCCTCCCTAAACCCTCCTTTAAACCCCCTCAAAACCCTCCAAAAAACCCTCGCAAAACCCTCGAAAACCCTCGCAAAACCCCGCTCTAAACCCTCGCAAAACCCTGGCAAAACCCCGCTCTAAACCCTCGCAAAACCCTCTCTAAACCCTCGCAAAACCCTCTCTAAACCCTCTCTGAACCCTCGCAAAACCCTCGCAAAACCCCGCTCTAAACCCTCGCAAAACCCTCTCTAAACCCTCTCTAAACCCTGGCAAAACCCTCTCTAAACCCTCACAAAACCCTCGCAAAACCCTCGCAAAACCCTCGAAAAAAGCTCACCAGAAGCAAAAGTAACTCCGAGTTGCGTGGCTTTCGAATAACTCTCTTTCGGCTTTGTGAAAACTTTGTCATAAAAAGTTTCGACAATTTTTTCGAAGAAGAAAAACTTGGCCATCGTGTAGGGAATTTGGCGACTCCACAGGGGCACCACGGAGCCAAACTGACACACAAACCCTAAACCCTAAACCCTAAACCCTAAACCCTAAACCCTAAACCCTAAACCCTAAAG